GCCTCCGCGCCGCCTGGCAGCCTCCCTGCCTCCCACACCCTCCGCGCGCCCGGGGTCCAGGCTGTTGGTACCATCAGCCCGAGCGCCCGGGAGGAGACCCCAACCCAGTCCGCACCGTGGCGCCCTGGAACGGGTTCGGGCCCTGCGGAGAGCCCAGGACAGGGGCTTTCCTCAAGGAGCAGACCCACCTCTTTTGAGTTTTCTCCGCCATGGTTCGGCCAGGGTCTCCGGCTGAAGCTGAGATCGACACAACCGCCTGGGTAGAGCGACGAGCTCTGCACGCGATTGGACAGCCTGGCAGGGTTGGGGGCGGGGCCGCGGAGGGGGCGGGGCCTCGCGGGGCTTCCGGTTCGCCCGGCGCCTGCGTGCACGGCCACCCGCGGATCCTAGCCTTGTCTGGGGGTCATGGGGACTCGAGCTTAAGGCAGCCTTTTGTGCCGGTCCAGTGCACATCACTGTGACCTCATTCTACCCCTCCCTTCGATGTAGGTGATCACCCACGACAGGCGTTCCGTCCTCAGCGGCTGCTCCTTCCCGGCCCCTCGCCTCCCGGTGTGTGTGTGGGGGCGGCTCCTGCTAGGCCAGCGCCCCTTCTGTAAGAGCTCGTCTCCTGCAGGGCGGGCACACAGGTTAAGTGCCCTCTGTCTGCTGGCTTTCTCAGGCTGGTGTCTCTAGTTCTGTCCTCTTCGCCGAGCTTCACACCGATGCTCCGTTGACTGCTTGGCAGCTCCACTTCATGTGCCCAACGTCTTGTCAAACCTAAAGCGTCCAGAACAGAGCTTTGGATCAACCCGCACGACCTTGCCCTCCCTCCAACCCGTTGCTCCTTCGATCGCCATCTCAGTAAAGGAACCCACCGTTCACCCAGTTCTCAAGCCAGGCAGACCCTCGAGTCACCCTTCGCGGCCCTCACCCCTCCCTGCACGATGCACCTGCACGTTCTGCGGCTCCGACCTCCGGGGCCCTCACTCTTCCACTCTGCACGGTTTACCCCACCATTTCTCTCAAATGTCAGCTGCCACGTTTCTCTGCCCCTTTCATTCTTGACTTCTAAAATCACACCCCCTATTTTTTCACCCCCAACGCCCATCCAACTCGTTCTCTTGTAGTCAAAATCATTCTTTAAAAACCATATCCATTATTTTAACTTTAATTTACTCTTAAAATCCAAACTACTTTCCATAACCCGTCTCTGGGCTAGATCCAGCCCTTGCCTGCTTCTCTCTTCTCTCATTTCATGCTCCTCTTACTCTTTCTCTTTACTCAGTCACATCTTTATTGCTCAGAAGCCAAGCTGACTCTCAAACCACAACCGCTTCTACTTCCCCCTCCTAACACCTTCTGGCCCCTTAAGTCTCAGATGTCACATCGTCAGTGTTCACCCAGAAAAACAACAAAAAGGGGATGTATATTAAAAAGTTTATTGCAAAAAATTGGCTTGTAGGTGATTGTGGGGTTCTGGCTAGGCAAGTCCAAAATCTTTAGTCAAGCTGGAACTCCCATGCACGGGGTGAAACTGCTGTCGACAGGCAGAATTTCTTCTTCTGCGAAGCCTCAGCTCTGCTTTTTAGGCCTTTCAACTGATTGTGTCAGGCCCATCCCAATTACCTAGAATAATCTCCCTTCATTAACGTCAACTGGTTTGGACTTAAATCACATCCACAAAATATCTTCCCAGCAGCACCTAGATTAATGTTTGATTGACTGGGGACTGTAGGCTAGCCAAGTTGACACAAAAACTAGCACACTCAGAGAAACCCTCATTGACCATCTAATCAAAAATAGGCCACCCTTGCTATTCTGATCATTTTCTCCATGGGACAGGATAGTGCTCATCATCAGCTGTATTTATTTTTCTGTCTCCCCCAGAGACTAAGTTCCATGAGGGTAGAACCATGTAAGTTTTGTTCCCACTCTTTACTCAGCACCGACCATAGTGCCTGTTCCAAAAAAACCTTTTGAGTAAGTGTATGGATGAATTTAGAACATTCTTTTGTCCCTGAGCATTTAAATACCTGTCCACTTTCAAGCAATGTCTATCTAAATTAATCTTAAAGGCTATCATGTCATGCTTATAAGAAGGGCCATTTTATCTAGCATTAGATTCAATATTCGGAGCCTATAAGCTTTTCAAGGAACAACAAAATGTTTGACACCTGAAAATAAAATGTACTGATTCCAGAATACAAAAAGTACATATAGGATTAATAAATATTTAATTCAATGTCTATGTAACATAATTTTTTTCTTAACTAATCAGGTGCAGTTCAACTCTTCTATACCTAGAAATGATATTTAATGTGGGATGTGGTTGCATTTATTATGTTTACTATGTCAGCTTGTTCAGTTGCTTAGGGAGCCCTCTGCTCCCTATTATCGGTTTTACTGTTTGTCCAAGACCTTGTGGCTTCTGTGGCCTGCAGTAAACTACCCATCTGTTTGGAAACATCCTCTCCTAGGGAGTCAATTTAAACATTTCCACTTCTCCAAAGTCCTTTTTAATTCCCCATGTCTGGAGGTGATTGTTTCTTTCTTTACCCACTACAGTATTCATGTGCACCTATAGTTCTTGAATGGAAGTATTTGTTTCCATTTCTGTCTCCCCAGCAGACTGAGAGTCATATGAGGGCAGAGACCATGTGTTATTCACCCATATATTCCTGGTGCTTAGCACAGAGTCTGTCATAAAAATAGTAGCCCAATAATGCTCATATTTATCATTCAATTATCTTACCTTCAGCCAGCCAGCTTTTTGCTCTGTGCTTTTACATGCTTTACCTATTTTCATAACAATTCCGTTGAAGCAGGCATTATTATGTCTAGTTTTAAGATGAAGGAGCTCAGTCTCACAGAGGTGACCAAGTTCCCCAGTCAATAAGAGGCTTTTGGGTTTTCTCCTCTGCACAGAGCTGTCTCTCATAAAGAGATGGTCCTTGCCCCTAAGATGCTCTTGTGTCAGGCTGTATCTTCCTGTCCTCTTTTTTCAGGCTGCTTGCTCTTGCATGTGCCTTTGGAGATGCAAAACAGCTGGTCAGGGACAGCCCTGCAATGCCTGGGCTCAGCAGATAGATCTCCGCTAGCCAAGAGATAGAGAGATGGCCTATTGTTCTTGCCTTACTCCTAGGAGGTCTCTTCTGACTTGTCCATACCCCAAAGGAAAAAATTATCTTTAAGTGTTTCTTTTTCACACTTTTGCCTCCTCAGAACCTTTTCAACTTTAACTGCTATTTCCAGAGTACACAGTCTGTGCACAGCACTCTTCTAAGTGCCGGGATGCAGCAATAAACAAAGCAGTCCCTCCCTCGGGGAGCTCATGTTGCAGTAGTGGGCAGGCAGTAAACTGATGGAGAAATAGATAAGTAAGGGTCGCTGCTGTAGTAGCCCGAGGAGGAGAGTGCTGATTAGGAAGGGAATCTTGTGGTTTGCCTTAGGAACCTGCCTCCCTTCCTCACATTCTTGTTTCCCTCCCCAGTCCAGAGAATCGTCTGTCCACAACTGGAAAATGAAATTTCTCATTAACTTAGTGAAGAAAATATGGCAGTATGATAACTGGAAAGGCAAACAGTGTGCTATATAAACTAAATAAAACCACAACTTCTGAAAGCAATGTTTTTAGTACCTTTCATTAGGTACTATAACCCGAAATGGGTTTTGGTTTCCATAGTGCAGTTCCCTTTATCAGAAAGCCAGCTTTGATCTCCAGCTTTTTTTTTTTTTTTTTTTTTTTTTTGCCTTTCGCTCACCCAGGCCTTCCTAATCCATATAAAAAGACCAGAGAGAGCCTGGCTGAGATTTCTCTTGCAGGAAGGCACAGGTTAAGGACTCTGGAAAGGACAATATCTTTTGTTCCAGTTCATAATGGATTGGCTTCCGCTGTTCTTCCTCCATCCTGTATCACTTTATCAAGGAGCTGCTTTTCCCTTTGCACTCCTGTTTAATTATCTCTGCACCATGGATTCATTTTCCACTCGTGCCAGGTAGGCTGGATGGCTAATTTTGCTCTTACATCCAGGAACACTATTTGTATAGCAGGGCAGAAAGCACAGAGTAGACTGCAGGTGTGAAGATCAGATATTAACTACAATTGTTTTAAACTTATTGTCACTGTCACTGATTATTGGTTGCTTGATAATGAATATATATATAATAGAGTAAAACTGACCTGGAAATTGATATCATGTCTGCATTGACTCAGTCAGTTTTATAGGTTCACATTAATTGGGAAACGGATGAAAATAAACTCTGGGGCGACATGGACGTTGATATGGTACAGGAATACTCCAGATGTACAGATCTGTGCCAACCATAAACCCCAGATATTCTTGAGCAACCCAGTTTCATGAAATTGTATAGTTTTCAGTAAAATTAAATTTTAAAGAAAGTAACATTTTTGTAAGTCATATTTATAACTAAATGTGATTTAAAAAATGCCATTATGTGATTTTTCAGAGAAATGAAATAAGTAAAAACAAATCATTTTAGATTAGTTATATCTCAATTTGGGGTTCAAAGATTATTGTCACTAGAGATTTGATAACTTGATTGTAGTTTTTTTTTTTAATATCAGATAACTTCAGTATGGTGGAGATAGTACCTATTTTTAAAAAGTTTTCATGGAATATACTCTTGTAAACTGAAAATCCATTGCGAAAGGGCCACCTCCTAATAATTCACTTATTTTGGAAACTAGAATTTTTAAATATTGTGATTTCTTAAATAAAATCTAGCTGTATCTAACAGGATTGCTGGGTTTGGTTAAACTATGGTATGTTATCACATGCTCACAACTGGTTCACAGCACTGACTTTCATTTATGGGAGATGGGGGCGGGGGAACAGTTGTAAAGATGTTTCCTATTGAGAAAGAATCATGGAGCAGTAAAGCAAAGCAAGTGCGAAAATAAGGATTAATCCCTGTAGAATTAACATAGGGTTAAGGTTGCTCACTTTGGAGTCAGCCTGTTGGGTCCTAACCCCCTCACTACTGAGTGTCTTTGTGTCTGTGATAAACTTTCTCTGAGGTGCCCTTTCCTTACATGACTTATTTAGCTGGTTGCCATCTGGGTTGGGATCCTTGTTATGTTCAGGATTACAAATTGTTGCCATTACTATTGTTAATATCATTGTTATATTTTTATTTATAAATTTATTGACATTTTTCTGCTTGCTTTAAATCTACTGTTCACCCTGTACTGGCCAGCTGTCCCCCCCCCCAAATAAAATAAAATAAACAAACAAATAAATAAATAAATCTACTGTTCAAACTAAATTTATGATTGTTCAGTGTTTACAAATAATTCATCGTGTTGATAAATAGTGTGTTGCTCAAGTCTTGAACTCACGCCCCCGGCTGCTCTTTGATTTGGCCTACCTACAGTATTCCACTGTTTTCGCCGCTCTCTCCCCAGTGAGGGACATGAGTTCCTGGGAATGAGTCTTCCAGCTTCATAGGACCTGAAATGCACACATCTTCAAATCAAAATTGATCTTCAAAGCTTTCTATCGAAAGTTCTTGATTGAAAGGGGGAAATGATGAAGGAATAATCAAAATCAAGCAGGTTTTCCAAAACTCACTGCCTTGGGATAAGTTTCACGAACCTGATGTTGACATCTTGTTCTTAAGATAAACATTGTATATGGTTAGAACTTCTGATTTATTAGTTAATGTATAAACTGCTGGTTCTGAATAATCCATTTGGATACTGTTAAGGGTAGCTGAAGCATGAAGCTTCTGTTTCACTTTGCATGTAGACATTTTTGGCTCTCTTTTTGTAATAAATAATTAGTGATTGTGATTCTTGTGTTCTGTGAGAAAAGGACAACTGTATTTGGAACTCTCCCTCCCTTTTGGAACCTCCTTTTGACACTCCCTTATAAATGCCTTTGCTTGTAGTAGACTTTGGAGCACTTTCTAGCTTTGTTGGCTTGTGCTTACGGGGTCGATCCTCAAGCTTTGCTTTCAATAAACCTTTATCTTTTGTCTTTTTTTTT